GGATGGAGTTAAAGAAGACAGAGCTGGACATTTGTTAAAACAGCAAAAGACAGATGCAATAGGGGGAACAAGACCTCAGTATAGAACTGGGCTCATTTTTTAGTACAAGGGAAAAGGGGATTGGTAGCCAAGGGAGGTCGCTGGATGGAAAATTATTAAGCAGAGACATCAAGGTAGGAGGAATGCTCCTAAGCTTATGTAACAGTAGTTCTTGCTAAAAGCTGGCCAACATTTAATACATCCAAGATGAGGGATGAGGAATTTGATTGGCTATGGAGGGTAATGAGGTGTCATCAGTGGGAGGAGTCTCTGCAGAATGACACAGCGAGATTCTTGCTCTAACTGGGCAGTGCAAGCCCAGGAAGGACAGACAGAAGCCCAAGGTCAGGGGCCGACTGAGAAGAGGGTTCTGAAGAGCCTAACCAAAGTTTGGTCAAGGAGCCTGTCCTTGTCAACAGATGGATGAATAGATAGATGATGTGGATGGATGGAGGGATGGATGGGATGGATGGATGGATGGATGGATAGATAGATGGATAGATAAATAGAGGTATAGATGTAGATGTGCTTGTAAATGTTTAACAACTGGCTCTTTGGGGAGGGGGGATCCTTAATCTGTAGCATTTGTTGGTTTCCTTAGTGTACATACTCCCACTATAACTGGTTTCAAAGCATCCATCTATTGATTGATGGTTTCAAACCACCAGTGTGGGGTCACGGATGCAGTGCTGGGAAGAAAGGCCCACAGTTGACCTGAGTGGACAGCAAGAGTAGCCTCCAACCTACCCCTGCATAATTCTTTGTGCTAATTGTGCAAATCTTCTGTAAGTCTGGAATCATTGCATAATAAAAAGTTAAAATTTTTAATATAAATTACCTATAAGATAAATAGATTATAAATTTTTTCTAGGGTTTGAGTAAAGCAATTTTTTAAACCTTAGTAATTTTTTTCTTTTAAGTAATAGTAGACTACGGCATAACCCAATATCTGAGTTAAAGAGTAATTTTTTATAGTAATAGGCAAACAAACAAACAAAAGGTCAAGGTCTATCACAGAGAAATACTGGTAAGATAAATGTTATTGATCATTCAGTTAATCATGTGATATTACTGAGAAAGCTTTGGTCATGGATTCAACCCACACTGGTCCTCTTCATTACACAGAACACATGGGGTTGGGGTCACCCCCCCAACTGTCCCCATCTCATCCTGGCCCGGGCATCACATTTGTTTGTCAAAGAGCCAGGGCTAGAGAGAAGGAATGATTCAGCACAGTTTGCTACTAATAACTCTCGAAAGCTCCATCTAACGGTGTGGGCAGCTGTGTCCTCTTCAGACACTACAAGGAAATACGCTTTTCTGGCCACAGAAGGATGTTAAAAGCTACCAGCAGTTACGTCGTTGTTGGAACTCCAGTTTCTGCTCTCTAAACTCCGCTCCTTGTGATTAAATCCGTTTTCCTCAGAGGATGATAGACTAAAAAGCCCTTCAAATGTACGCTGTGTCATAGTGACACCTAAAGAGAAACATGACAAAGTGCTGAAGGCAAAATTTTGTGAACCTGATATCACAAGCCATACTTCAAATTTCAGGCAGTGAACTAAAATAAAATGCGTGGAATTCTTAAGCACACGGAACATGACAAACTTCTAGTAGCATTCTGAACTGTGCCTTTGGTGAGGTTAAAGGTTAACTCCAAGCGCCAAGTTGTCAACTTCTTTGGTGTTTTATAGGAAACAATAAAATAAATTTTAAAATCCAAAATCTGTAATTTATTAGCAAACCATCCAGGCATATGAGCCCTCCCATGGTGATTGCTGAATTATAACATAATATCGAAAACCAGAATGAACTGAACATTTTAGATGAACACGGATTTGTTTTGTGTAAATGCAGGAACTCCAAAAAGTTCACGTGGCTGTTTTGCACTTGGTCCGGTCTGCATGCAGTAGCTCATCCAGAGCATTTCTGATGTTCTCAACACAAACTTCTCCTCTGTGATGTTTTTTTGATGCAAGATTCCATACATTTTCAAATTCGTCATCAGAAAGCTTGACCCCAATGTTACAAAGTATCTCGGCAATCTAGAGAAAAAAAACTTTGAAAGTCAGACTAATATTTATGGGTTTTTAAGTTTGTATTTTTGACTATCTTTATAATATCTAAGAATATGAACATTTATCCCCCCAAAAAAAGGTGTGTGTGTGTGTGTGTGCACTTACTACATATGGTAAGCAGATATCAAAATTCCAGTACTTTCAGTTTAGGAATCATTTTGTTAATATGAATGAATATGACGGTGTTCATCTATACTAGCCTATGTATAAAATTACTTTCAACTCTAAGTATTTCTGGTTATTTTAAAGGGAAGCAGCCAAATTCAAGGAGAAAGAGTAGAAGAGTTACAGATGGAGGACTTGCTGGATTTGGGTTCCAACCCAGTCACCTCTCAAGTGCATTCTCTAAACCCCCTGCATGTCGTCTCTGCTTCTTCAAAATAAGAACATTTGTAAAATGTCTGTAGCTGGCCTGTTGCAAACTTTAACTATAGTTGTGGGTGTGCAAATGTCAGAGAGAGAGTGCATGCGTGAGCAAGGAAGCAGACGGAAATCTGAGCAGACTGAACTTGGCTTATTAATAATCTCCCCACAGTGGTAATTATTAAAAGGGTCAAGGGGGGGCATGCTTTTTATGTCCCAGGGAAAATTTAAGAAAGGAAAGATAAAACCAAGTAGTGGGAAGAAATATGAGCATGAGTAGAGGGAATAAAAGATTTGAAAAAAAAATTTAAAGAGGAAAAACATTAACTATGAACCACATAGGAAGAAAGAAAAGAAGGAAATAGAAAAGTTAGACAGTGATAGGAAAGCCAGAAAGTTAGATAGTTGCAGAATACATCCTATAAAACAGAATCGCAACAGTTAAAAGATGCCCGGGATAGGATATGCCTTGTGGGAAATTAACAGTATAATCAGATACACCTGAGATGCTGAAGTGCCGTCCTTGGGCGTAGTCGCTAGTTTCCTGCACACAGTGGCAGGTAAAGAACGGCCCTGCAGTGTGAACCCACCACGTGGTCCGAGTCGGTCTCAGGCATCCCAGACCGTCTCCCCTGCCTCCCCTCCCACACCTCGGGGGGCATTCTACCCTAATTCAGCATTCCGGCCTTGGGTATCGATTAGCTAACACTTTTTCAGAAACCCATCTCTTCTCAAAATAATGTTAATACTCCAGCCAGGCCTCTGGGGTCTCACTTTCTCCGTAGAACTGTGAGAAAAAGGATGCCTTCCTAGTTAAAAGAATTTTAGGCATCAGGAAACAAGCAGGAAATTTTTGTTTCTTTTGGCAGCCGTGAAGCCCTGCTTCATAGGCCCTTTAGAGTGATTGAAGGAAGAGAAAATGCAGTCTGCAAAGGGCTCTGCTCTGCTCTGGTCCTGGGTTCTTGCTTTGGGGGCAGCCAGCAGGCGTAGTCCTCTCTCCCCGAGTTCAGTGGGAATAATCTTTGGGGTGAGTCTGTGACTAAGTCTGCAAGTTTTCAAGGCATCAACCCTTCATCTGAAGTCCCAGAAAACATCATGTATCTATTCATATAATTTCTAGCTTTGGATTTGAAAGTTCAAAGAAGCCATTGCTCCCTCCATCACACCCTGCTCTCCACATGGCAGATCTAGACAGACTGGTCTGACCATACCCTGCTGTTACTCTGCAGCCCTCAGGACCCCAGTGGCCATCCTGACCTACCATGCCGCTCCTGCTTTATAACCAACCTAGTTAGACAATCACCTGGGATATGAGGACCACGTTTCTGAGTGAACAGACAAGATGTGCAGGCTAACATGCGATGTGGCAACAGGACGGAAGGTTTTCAGTCAGTGCTTGTTGCAGAGAGTCTGAGACGTATGCTAGCAGCACACGAGGAGGATGACAGAGTGGCCCTTCTCATGCCTCCTCTCTGGTTTTGGAGACTCACGACCATAAGGATACTTACACAAGGTTGGGGTTGGTCCTCTTTGCTTGTTCTCAACCAAGCATAGTGCTGAATGCCTTAGGAAAACACTTTTCCTCTTATACATAGGTCATAGTGAGTGTATGACACGAGTGTGATGCTTCTTACCAGAGTAAATTCTGCTTCAAGAATTATACCAAGGGAAGAGGGTGCAGCTCAGTGGTAGAGCCCATGCTTAGGATGCACGAGGTCCTGGTTCAATCCCCAGTACCTCCATTAAAAATAAATAAACAAACCTTGTTTAAAAAAAAAAGAATTGTACCAAATATGACAGCTAAATTGAACATTATCTTCATTATGGGGATCCTAATGACATCTGTGATACAAAGCTCAAGTTTTTTGAAGTTTAAAATTAAATCATTGTTGACAAACATTTCCAACTTTGTTTGGGTAAAGTTGGCCTTTCTTTCAACTCTTTTGAAATAACAATGCTGTACCTCTTTCTTTGATCTGGTCTTGAAGAAGTCTCTTTCAAACACTCCCTTCTGGCTGAAGATAGTAGGGTGTAGTAATGAATAGGCATTTCCATCTTCGCCATAATTAGTTCTGTCACTGATGCGGCGAATTCGGGGGGCAGGGATATCGGACCGAATGGTTGGGATGCCGTAGATGGGATGACCTGGGACACCGACGGGGAGGAAAACAGACATTCTAGATAAAACAGTTACCAGCCACAGGTGGCTATTGAGCACATGAGTTAGGGCTAGTGCCAATTCAGGTGTGCTGTGAGCATAAAATACACAATTTCAAAGATTCAGTACCCAAAAGAGAATGTGAAATATTTAATTAATCATTTTATATGGAGTACTTGTTGAAATGATAACATTTTGGAGATATATATATATATTTATTACATATATACTATTAGAATTAATCTCACCTATTTCTTTTTCTTAATGTGGCTACTAAAATTCTAAAACTACATGTGACACCAATTATATTTCTATTGGACAGCACTATTCCAAAGAGAATAGCAAGACCTCATTGCACAGAATGTACAGCGTGTCTATAAAATCCAGTTAAGAAAAATCTATAAATCCTTAATCATGTCCTTAGTCCAAGAAAATGATCTTGACCAACATAAAAGAGTCTTTCTAAATAACAATATTCGTCATGCTTGATATTGAGATGTGGGGTGTTATGAGTTGAATTGTATCCTTCCCAGACTCATAGGTTGAAGTCCTAACTCCTAGTAGCTCAGAATGTGATCTTATTTGCAGACAGGGTCATTGCAGATGTAATTAAGTTAAGAAGAGGCCTTACTGGAGTAGGGTGGACCTTTAATCCAGTGTGACTGGAGTCCTTATCAAAGAGGGACATGGGGACGCAGACACTCGCACAGGAGAACACCATGTGAAGGTGAAGGCAGAGATCCGGGCACAGAAGTCGAGTAGTGCCAGAGCCTGCCAGGCAATCCCCAGAAGCCAGGAGAGGGCCAGGGACAGATGCCCCCTCACAGCCCTCATTAGGAAGCCACCCTGCCACTCCTTGAGCTTGGACTTCTAGCCACCTTGAGATGATCAGTTTCTGTTGATTAGCCATCCAGTGTGTGGTACTTGTTATGACACCCCTAGCAGACGGGGAACAGACAGGGAGTGAGGGTGTAAGGGATCATCTCTCAAGAGCTCTTCAAGTATTGGAAGGCAGATCTGTTTGGAGCTAAGAATCACTTGGTTTAAAAGTCTCCTAACCCTTGATGAGGTCTGAATTATGACAGTGTAATTCAGTGTTCTGAGCTCTGAGCTATGCTGGTTTCAGTTTCATTAACACAGAGAGAATCATTTCACTTGGGTCACCATTAACAATTGTTCAATTCAGCCCCCATTTCTTGAGACCTGACCCCCCTGGGTGCTTAGAATAC